GGGTCGGGTCTCAAGTTAGCCCTCCTCATTTTCCGCGCAGAAGAGCTGTGTTCCTGCTTCGCGTCGCCGGCGCTGCTGGAAAGTAGAAGATGAGCTGTCTGGACTGCTTATTTGCTTGGTCATTTTCAAGCAACTTCGCGGCAGAAAGAAGGATCATGTTGTCCGAAACAGAATTTCCTGAAAAGTGCATGCTACGACCCTTTTAAAAGAGTCAGCGTTCAAGAAGTATTACAGGATGGATATTACGACTTTTCAAGATTTATTGTGCTTCCTGGGACCATATCTAGTGGTCGACTATTACCAGTCTCTGTGACGATCTCGAGGTGTTACTCCACTTACTCCAGCGGCAATGTTGCAGTTTTCTCTCACTGTTCATAAGCTCGTCGTAGCGACGAAGACACGTAATCCGATCCATCTTCTTCGTTTTCGTATTAAGCTTGATTTGACGAAGACTACATTCCTTCCGAATGAGGTCCTGTGTCTTCTCCTCGTACGGCTTCCAAGCGTAGTGCCCCTCCACTATGGTGCCACTACGAATGGAGGGGATACGAGTAGCAGGTGCAGCATCTTCTTGCACGGCAGTATTCCACTGCCTAGAGGGAGCACCGGCAAGTCAGTTTGCTGTGGGGTCTGCATAAACAGCGGCGCCGGAAACGGCTAGATGATCATGATCGCCAAGGGAATTTGCTTGGGAAGAGAGCCGGGCAGGTGGTGGGCTCGCTGCATCTATTAGCTCCGGGTCTAGACGGGGACGTCTGGCTCCATAGTTGTAGATGACACGAATCCACGAATACCGAAATATCGCACATTGATTGGTTCATAGCAACATAATTTTGTCCAATCATGAAACGCTCTTTTTCCAAGAATTCATTCTCAACCGAAGTGTGCGGGTAGGGGACGCATGCAACGCATTCGTCAGAGAGACCCTTTAGTTGGGAACGGGCCTAATCAGTGCCTTTTCTTTATGTCTTTATTACTAGATGTAACGCTTTAAGCAATATCATTAGAGAGAAAAAGATCAGTTTCATAGTTTTTAAATATGTTTTTAGTTTTTTTTAAGTTTAAAGTTGGTTTGTTTCTCAAAACTATAGCTTAGAATATTCTCGAAATAAAACGGAAACATTTATAACCAGAAACCAATACTGTTCTTGGTGGGCTGATTACTGCTTACAGACAATCCTCTTTGGAGTGATACCCCAAATAATGATTCCCTCTAGATAAGGAGGTTGGAGAGGTCTCCCGCTGACAGTCAGCATACAAGCCCAAGTCAAAATTGCCTCTCCTCTCCATATTGTATTAGTGATCGTTTAATATTACAATCAAGAGGTAGTTAAATAACGATATTGTCCGTTTGGTAAATCTACGTCCGAATAAGCCCAGCGGCACTAGTTGGAGTAAGGATCTCTACAAAAAGAATCCGGATAAGCTAAAAATAGATTTTCATGCGGACATTTTTGGATGCTCCAACACTTAACTCCAGTGCAGTTATGAGGTA